AATACTCATGGACTCGGGATGGAATGCTATTGAGAGAATGTATTTTTACTGTGCTGCCAATGCAGAAATTCAATCTCTTTGAACCAAAACCAAACCAAACCCGTTGCCATCGAGTGGATTCCAACTCATAGCGACCCTATACCTGGCTTCACATCCACAAAATTTTCAGGTAAGTCCCAGAATACTTGAATAGGAAGAGCCTGTTCCATGAGCCCAGGATGCCTTCTTAAATGAAGGACACTTGAATAATAACAGCAATAATGTTACCAGCAGGCAACATATATTGACAGGTTAAGATATGCCAAGAAGCTGTGTGAAGTGTTTTATAACCATTATTGCATTTAATCCTCACAATAACCCTAAAAGATGGGTATTATCCCATTCTACCTATGAGGGCGATTAAGACCTAAAAGCAGTTAAAGAGATTTTCCAAAAGCCATATGGCGACAAAACTAGTAAGTTGGGGGGTTAGAATTTTAACCCAAATTGGTCTAAGTCTAAAGTCCACATTAGGATATTGTCTTGATGACAGTTGGCACTTCTTGAGCACAGACTATGTTACATAAGTGTCTTGTATAACAATCTCTTGATCTTCACGATAATCCCTCCCCAAACTTTGCTCCATTCTTTTCTCTTGCTCCTCACAACAGCTACCCCATCCATATACCATTTTCAAGTTCATCACCCACTTCAAGGTTCTCTTGTTAAACTGCCAATCCTCACAGGGGAGGTATTAGTGCTAGTAAGAGTATGTGTGGAATAAGACACCTTGGAATAAATTAATCCTAGAAGACTTCTAGGACTTTGGGCATGTTAGTTAACTTCTTTGATTCTGAGATTCCTCATCTGTCAAATGAGTTGGGTGGTTCTGGTTGTAATTTTCTAGAATTCTATGACAAATGCAGGACCTTTCTGGAAATGGGACATTGACAGGTAAGCTCCGTATCATGAGAGTAGAAATGAACTTGTTATCACAGTAAAGGAACTTTGCAGGTTAAGGGTATATGAGGCACTGGCTCCGAGGAACAGTCAGGAATGAAGAGTCAGGGGGGAGTGTCCTTAAGTTGTCCATGATTAGGCCAAAAGATTGGTACGTTATTGAAGGGAATGAAGTGACGCGGGGACAAGCATGTGGTATGTGTGACCCCTAGGACAGAGCTGGCCTACTGGATGGAAATTGTCAAGAGGTTTAGAAGGAGGAGAACTTCCAGTTTCTTCAGGTAGTTAGGCAGGGGTTAGACAGCCATTGCAAGCATTGTTGAGGGAATTTCTGTTTTTATGGGAGTTGACTTGGGGAACTGACTTTCCAAAAGGGAAATTTGATCATGTCACTCTTCTGCTTGGCACCATCCACTGGATCCCAATTTCCTATGAATACAGCCCAAGACAGCTCCTTACCATGGGCTACAAGGCTTGTCACAATCTGGCGCTGACTGTGTCACATTTACCTTTTATTCCCTAAGCTATTGCAGCCATACCCAACCTTCTGCTGTTTCTGAATATACGAAGTACTTTCATACTTCTGTGCCATATCATCTGTGAATCCTTTTTCCCGTCTCTGGATAATTCACCATGTCTGCTGAGCTGTGATTATTTATGTGTCTGTCTTCATCAACAGACTGAGAACAGGGCTAGTCACATTCATCTTCATATCTTGGTAGATGTGACTAGAGTATGAACTGAGTATGTATTTAGTGAATGAGGCGGGACCGGATAACATCCAAGAGTCTTTTAACTCAGATTCTGCTATTTCATTTCATTTCAGTAAGCATTTAATTGAGGGCCTACATGTACATGTCACATGGTGAGGGTTGAGGATATACCAATAATAATAGCGGTCACGATGTAAACAGAGACAAACCAGGAACCAGGGCCAAGAACCCCGATGGGGTGGGGAAAGAAAACTAGGGAGGTGGCTACGTAGTGAAGAACAGACCCCACACTGTTGCAGGAATTGTGTAGGAGAAGAGGAGGAAAGAGAGAGCAGTGGGATGGTACTGGTGGAAAGGAGTCTCTCAGGATTTAGGACTGAGATTGGCTTTATTCAGGAGCCCCCGTACCCCAACTACCCGGTAGGTATTTCCAAGGGAAAAGGTATCCAGGGGCCAACTCCTCCCACCCCTAGCCCATTTTCTCAGAACCACACAGTTGGTAGTAGATGTCAAGCAAGTTAGAACCTTCCCACAAAAAAGGACTCACCTGTGGAACCCTCAAGGGGAGCTGATCTCATTGGGTTTCAGTAGTGACTAAGCCCTCCACAGAAGCCTAATTTCCCCCTTTTCCTAGTGGAGTTGAAGTGAAGTCCCTCTGGTTCCTGCCCCCCATGCCTGTGCTTGAGAATCTGTGGGGTATCACCACAGAGAGTGCCGCCTGCCTTTCTTGAGCTCCTATTGAAGAGCCCCAGTCTCCTCGCTCCTCACTCAAATTTTGAAAAGAAGCCGGAGACTCAATTCAGCCCAAGTTTTGACTGTAGCTAGAGAAGGAACATGGCTTCCTTCATGTGTACCCTGGTGTTCCCATGCTCACAACAGCAGGAAGGTAGAAAATGGAGCCAGGCTGTACTGAAGGGAGGTGCTGGGGCAGGGCCCTCGTGGGAGCCTGGAAACTCTTTTTGACTCTTACCCAAAGTCACTTTTCTTCCTATTTTTATGAACACAAATCCCTAAGTGTGTTTGTGTCCAGAGAAAGTACTACGAATAAAGGATGATCCATTTGTTGATTAATTTGTGACTCATCCTGGGGGAGAGGGAGCAGGAGCTTTGGAGGCTGTATATAATGTGTCGTAAAATATTTACCAAATGAGCATCCAAACCACAGGGAAAAAGCTGGAGAGATGGGAATGTGAATGTTGCCAGTATTTAAAAGCTATTTAATGCTAAACATCAGTGCCAGGGAACTGAGAGCGTCTCCTTTCCTCCCTCCTTTGGCATCGACAGCCCCGATAATGTGGGAAGGGCTTGGACGGGCCATGACGGGCAATGGGAGCTGAGATCAGGCAGGGAGCTGAAAGACTTTTTGCTTGAGAAGTCTTGTAAACAAGCCATCTTCTCTGAGGTGGAATCCTTACCTTGTCTATGGTTTGCACATTCTTTTTCAAGATCTCCCTGATGATAACCTCTCCACATGGAACAGCAGTGCAAACCCTAGTGAATCATCTGCATGTTTCAGAATACCCTGGTGTTTGGCAGCCAGGGAGAAAAAAGAGCCAGAAGACTGGATTTGTCACTTTCCTTCCAAATATTTTGATGTCACTTAGACAACAGCTTCAGAATTTGGTCCCAGAATGACTTGACTGTATCCGTCATCCTAAAGGTTTGGGCTCAGAAGTTGTTTCTCCTATAGCGTTAGGGATCCTAAGTTTTTAGGGTTGGGGTCAGGACCCACTTCTATCACCTGATTCTTGGAGATCTGTTTATTTTTAGGTAAAGGATGGGAAGATCTTTCCTGATATTTTGGCTTGAACGCCTCAAGTTTAAAATTATGCCCTCCTGAGTATAACTACCATAAGGAAAGATAAACTAAGGGAGAAGTGGCAGGGAAGTAATTGAAAAAACCCAACCCAAACCCATTGCTGTCGAGTCGATTCTGACCCATAGCAACCCTACTGGACAGAGTAGAGCTGCCCCATAGGGTTTCCAAGGAGCAGCTGGTGGATCCAAACTGCAAACCTTTTGGTTAGCAGCCTGAGCTCTTAACCACTGTGCCACTAGTGCTCCTGAACTAACTTAGGGCAGTGGAAATAATCCCCCTGGAGAACAAAGACCTTAAGATAGTTTGGTTATAAGGCATTCTGCCAAGATTATTCTTCATGAGTTCATGGGTAGCCGATGCTGGAGAATTTGGTGGCTTCAATCAACTAATCTGTTAATTGTGCCAAGAAGGTCCCTGCCTGTAGGTAACTTATAATCTATTTACTGGGGAGGCACGTATTATGTAATGATATGGAGAATTACCTTTTCAGTTCAGAAAAGTGAGAGATCTCTTGGTAAGGTGGTCCCAAAGAAGAAGATAGAAATAATTACAGCAAAATTACATAAGCCCAGAACCAGAAAGTGGCCATTTTCTCTCATTAGATTTTTTTTGTTCCCGCTGTTTTATTTTCCTAGAATGTCTTCCTTCCCACTCTCTACCTCTCCCAAATCCAACACATCCTTTGAGACCCACTTCAAATCCCATCTACTCTACAGATTCATTCTTGACTATTCCAATCTTCATTAATCTTTATTTCCTTTGAAGTCTTACACCATTTAGAGTCTGAACCATTCATTTGGCACGATTACTACTGTGTATTATAATCTGTGTTTAGATTAATCTTTTCTCCTCAACTCAGTCATAAGTTCTTTTTGGCTGGTGCCAAATCCTGAAACACTTCTGTATCACACCCATAGTTTCCAGCAGTGTGCAGTGTTCAGTTAAAACTTGCCATTGGGCATTTGGGTTTGGTTTGCACCCCATTAATAGGGATGTTGCATAGGCTGCTGTTGGTGCCTGAACAGCTTGGTTGGGATTGTGGAAGAAATCTGAATTCTTGGTAAGCATGGGGATATGGCCCAAATTAGCACATCCAGGTTGTAAGACACATATATTCCGAGTTTTCGGTCCTGACGTTTCCCTTCCTTTCTAAGCTGTGATTGTTAAGGCAGATGTAAAAAACAAAGCAAAACAAAAACAAACAACAGCGTGGCATTGACCCTGAATCATGGCAACCCCATGTGTAGGGTTCAGAAAAGTTTTAAATTGAGTAAAAAATTAATTTACTAAGAGTGAAAAATTTACTAGCAGTACCATTCCTATTAAAAAAAAGTGTAAGAAAGAAGAAAGGAAGGAAGGAAGGGAAGGAGGGAGAAAGAAGGAAGGAAGGGAAGGAGGGAGAAAGAAAGAAGGAAGAAAGGAAGGAAGAAAGAAAAAGAAGAAGACTGAGAAGGAAATAAAAGGGGGGGGAGCCCAAGGGGGCGGGTGGGAAACACATCAGACTCAGACTTCGAATACTCCCAGCAATGTCATAATGTGGTAATTTTTAATATTAAAAGTAAATTGTAAATGTATCTTTATAAACAATATGCTTAAAATAGATCTATTATTCTAAAACCTTTTCCTTTTAAAATGCTTTTTCACAGTAAATTTCTTAGGTGTCAGATTTTCCCTCAAAATAATAGTGCAATTTGAGGAAGGAAGCTTTGTCAGTGATTTGGGACTTCTTTGCTAATACAAGTCCTTGTAGATCTCTTGTAGGAGTGGGTGAAGACTCATGTCCGTTTCTGTTTTCTTAATGACTTGCAATAGCTGCACGTGTTCTGTTACAATCTGTCTGAGGTCTGTCATTTTCTGGAGCAGCTTGGCAAACAGCTGAGAGGACTCGGGGTGGTTCAGCTTCAGCTGGAGCTCCAAGGCTTGCAGCAAGTTTTCCTGGATGTCCTCGATGGGCTTCACATTCAGCAAACCTGGGCGGTCTGGGGAGCAGAAGCGAAAAACATAACAGGAGGTTCGGTCAACACATTTCCTGGGACCCACAGTGGACGCATGTTCAACTCTAGAATACAGTGCCAAGCTATCCACCCGCCTTTTTGTTAGGCTTTGTTTTTAAAACAGAGTGGGAAGGAGGATAGTAAAGCAGATAAAACCAAACCAAACCTGTTGCTGTCAAGTCAGTTCTGACTCATAGCCACCCCACCATCCCACAGGACAGAGAACTGCCCCATTCGGTTTCCAAGGAGCACTTGGTGGATTTGCACTGCCGACCTTTAGGTTAGCAGCTGTAGCTGTTAACCACTACACCACCTCATAACGATCATATAAACCAAAAACCAACCCCACTGCCATTGAGTTGATTCTGACTCATCGCAACCCCACAGGGTTTCCAAGCAGACTGCCACATCTTTCTCCCGAGGAGCCGCTGGTAGTTTTGAACCGTCAAGCTTTTGGTTAGCAGTCAATTGCTTTAACCACTGCACCACCAGGGCTCCTTGTTAAGCAGATAATGGGCAAGAATTGAATACAAGAAGGATGGAATTAAAATAAAAAATCTCAGAGCCCTTTCCAGGGGCATTCTTTTCCTGGTCAAGGCTAAGTCTATTGTGGTCAGTTAACACAACGTGGTATCCAGACAATCCCGTACCCAAATGGAGGTCTCTTCTGCCAACATGTTTCTAAAAACCAGTTGCCGTTGTGTCAGTTCTGACTCATAGTGACCCCATGTGTGTCAGAGCAGAACTGCTCCATAGGATTTTCAATGTGTTGCTACTCATTCAGAAATCTCATTTTCAACTTCTGCTCCTTCCTGACAAATTTCTCTTTTATAAACTCTACCTACTTTCTTGGAGTCCCTGGGTGGTTAACGGGCATGGCTACTATGATTAACAGCTGTGAAGAGTTAACACATTTGGCTGCTAACCAAAAGATTAGAGGTTCAAGTCCATCCAGAGACACCTTGGAAGAAAGGCCTGGTGATCTACTTCTGAAAAACCAACCATTGAAAACCCTGTGGAGCACAGTTCTACTCTGAGACACATGGGGTCACCATGAGTTAGAGGTGATTCCATGGCAACTGGTTAAGATAACCTACTTTCTTACAACAGCTTTAAATATGCTTTTAAAAAAAGCTTTGTTTTCTTTTTGTTTAACATATCATACACCTTTTTAAAGTGACAGAATAAGCAGTTTTTAAATACTGTTACAGTTTGGAAAGAATGGCCCCGATATTTTAACAGAGGTTATTTCTGAGTGGTGGGACTGTAGGTAACTTTCACTGTCTTTAGATATTTCTTATTTGAATTTTTAAATGGTGGGCTTAAATTACTTTTAAACTTTTAATATTTTTCTTCCTGTAGATCTTGTTAGATTTATCCTTAAATACTTTATAGTTTCTATTGTGAATGGGCTCTTCTTTCTCCTTACATTTTCAATATATCGCTGCTGATTTTTAGAAAAATTATTGATTTTGGTATACTGAATATATTCTAATTTTCTGAACTCTTGTCAAATAGTTTTTAATCACGGATTTTTTTTTTTTTAATTTCTTAGGCAATTACATCCACAAATAATAGTAGTTTTGTTTTTCTTCTTTTCTTATATTTCATTTTTTCTTGCCATATAACATTGGCTAATACCTCTACTATAGTATTAAACAATAGTGGTGATAGGCATTCTTCAGTCTGGTCCTAGCCTCCTCTAGCCTCAGTTTCTATAAATATCCCTTTTCTCCAGCCGTATTAAGCTACTTTCATACCACGTTCCTCAAACATCCTAGGTTGTCTCATGACTCTTGGCTTATGAAGGTTTTTCTCCTCCTGCCTGAAACATTCTTATCTTCCCCTCATCCATCTTACTGAATTCAACCTATTCTTCAAAACATAGCCTGTGTCATTATGTCCTGAAAACTTTCCTTGATATTGTTCCTTCCTATCTTCTTCCAGTCCCCTTTCTCTGGGCTCCCATAGCACGCTATATACATCTGAATCACTACAATATTAGTATATTTATTGAGTGCTTATTATTTTCCAAAGATTGTGCTAAGGGCTTTAATACCCAATACATCATTAAATCTTCACAATAGCTCCATTACGTATTTTATGGAGGAGAAAATTAAGACTTAGAGAAAGAAGTTAAATTTTGCCCAAGATCTGCCACTTGTAGTAAGTGGCAGAGCTAAAATGTGAATCTAAGTCTGATTCCAAACTCTATACTCTTAACCCTTATTTCCTGTTGTATAAGAAATTATTTTCTTGTTTACCTCCCTATTCGACCAGGAGGTATCCGAGGGCAGAGACTGTATCTTGATCACCTCTGAATCTCCAGTGGAAACATGGGAAGCACTCAGTTGGCTAAGTTAATGAGTGAAAAGGTGGCTCTGGCTCAGAGTCCTGGATTGAAAAGGAAAGTTCTCCTGGTTGGTGAACACAAACCTAAAGGCAGAATCACTACACAATGAAAAAGTGTCCTGCAAACAGTGTTTTCCTGTATCTAATACACCCCAGTAACATTAACCCACTGAGGTGGCATGCGGGAGAACAGTGTTAGAATCCAGAGTGGTCTCAGAGTGAGACTTTCAGCAGTCTAAACATTTCCCTAAATTAAGCTGCTTATTTCTTTTTTTAACTACAGAAGTTAGCTTGCCTTTGGTTTGATTTTTTTTCTCTCTAGCTTCTCTAAGATATCCTATTGACTAGAATAAATCTAATTTTTTTTTTTAAATTTCAGCATTTAATTTTGGAACTACTGGCAAAAAGCTCAGATTCTGTGAATGAAACAAATGATTTAGTCATGGCCAGGAGAATAATGTCCCTGGAAGAGGTGTGCCTTTCTCACAGTTGAGATACCATATAATGAAAACCACTCATACTTTAAGGAAAACTAGATCCTGGATTGGCGCCTTTGGTTTAATTATTGCTGATCCTCCCCCTTAACAAATGTTCAAGATTTCAAAGGCCAGTGGCAGTGCAAACACATGTGCATCTTAGGTGGCAGCGATTTATGTAAAGACAGGTGCTGAATGTGGCACGTCCTTAGGCTGTGACCACACCCCCTTCTGCAGGACCCTCTGCTCCATGGAGGCACTGGCTCCTTAGAAACAATGACTTTTCTCCTTTCATCTTCCTGTTGGGCAGCATGAGCAGCTAACTTGGGTCCAATCTTCTCCTGAAGAGATCACATTAATCTAGAAGCTTTCATTTATTATGACAGCTCAAACAACCAAACCCTAAAATGCAACTGCTCAGACTTGCTGGAAACACTTGGCTTCAGTGCCGTATGATGGAACTGGCCCCTCGAGGAGTGGAGAAGGATCTGGTTTGGATTTGCAACTCCTTTGGCAAGTTATTCTTTATGATGTGACAGATGAAGTTTGGCTGAAGGGCTGAAACTTGTGGCCGCTGATTAATTCTATTTTCTCCAATGATAAGTTGGATCATTTACAGATCTGTCCCACTGTCCCCCCTGTAGAGCCCCAGTCCAGGCAAAATGGCAGAGGGAAGCAGTGCAGTAGAGCAGAAAAACTAGTATATTCTACTCGTAGGTCTCTCACTAGCCAACTCAGTGACCTTGGACAAAGTGATTAAGCTCACTAGGCCTCAATTTTCTCCTCTGTAAACTAAAAGAATTGGACTAGATAGTTTATCTCTAAGACTCCTTCAAAAGTTTTATGATCTTTTCTCCTTTGCAATTTCCTCTACATAATTCACATAATTAAACTGGGGAAATAATGTCAAAACCTAATTGGAAAAGTGTATTAACAGGCTCACAAATTAAACTTTGATAGGATACTTGGATTAAAAAAAAAAAAAAAAAAAAGCTTCCTTTGTTCTTAAGAGTCCCTGGGTGGTACAAACTGTTAACACACTTGGCTGCTAACTGAAAGGTGGAGGATTGAGTCCACTCATATGTGCCTCGGAAGAAAGGCCTGGAAATCTACTTCCAAAAACATCAGCCACTGGAAATCCCATGGAGCACAGTTCTTTCTGACACACACGGGGTCACCACAAACCAGAGCTGATTCCATGGCAACTGGTTTTTATTAGAGTCAAGAGCAAAAGAAATTTGTCAAGGTTGCTCCCCACCCTTCAATCAGCTATAAGACTTCCCCCACTTCCCTCTCCTGTCTTCGTCTCTCTCCATTGACACTCAAACCCTGCCAGAGCTGAGCTTGGAACCACAAACATGCCATGGCAATCTGCATTTCCTGCACACGGTCTGTCCTGCTCACTTCTCACTCTCCACTCTTCACCAGCCCAGTGCCTGCTAAGCCCTCGTCTGAAAAGGCCCTGCTCAGGTCCTCTCCTTGCACCCGGCTAAGGGCTAGAGTTGAGCTCTGGAATCAGCGTTCAGGGGCCCTCTTCACTGGTCTCGGCTGCCTAGAAAGCCCTTTTGGGAAAGTGCACGTTGACTCACACACTTCAGGACATAACACTGGGGAACCTGGACTCAGTTGCTGGTTCCTTACTCCCCAGGCTGCAGAGTTGGGAAAGAAACCTTTCCGGTCCCCATTCACAAAGTCCTGGAACTGATTAGAGAGCACCGATGATTGTGGGCACATCTACAAAGCTTCCCTCTCATGCAGATCTGATCCAGTTAATGGAGGGCTGTCTGAAGCAGATTCAGCTCTCTGGCCCTCTGGCTGCCCACCCGGGCCAGGCATTTCCCCAGCACGGATTTTCTCAGGAGGTGTCACAGTGAGGGAACCAGCTGGCCACAGTGGAGTCTCCTGTAGGGCAGGCAGGAAACCCAGACGGGATGGTTCTGTCCCTCCTCTAAGAGCTGTGGTTGTGGTGTTCCCATCTTCCCCTATTGGCTCTCTGATAGAGGCTGATCTGAAATGAACTGCACGCAGGGCACTGGGAATAAAGTCTGAAGGCTGGGCAGCTGTGAAAGGATCCACGGACAAGGAAGACCTGAGTTCAGGTGTGGGGTGAAGAAATAGGGGAGGTAGGGTTATTATTAAAGGAGCTCTGCACTTCGC